GTTAGAATCGCCCCGCGCAAGCAGGGGGGTCAATTTGGTCACACCGGCCATGTCTCTACTTGCCAGAGAGTAAGTCTACCCTATATACCGACACAATAAGGCAAAGATAAAATATAATAAAATAGTAATAAGGCATTTAAAGCTTACTTTTGAGTATCTCAATGATTTTTATTTATTCAGGCTTTTTTATATGTTAATATTAATTATTCTGAATTTCTTAGCAAAATTTCAAATAGTATTTGCCTCTCGTGTATTGTACTGGTTGTGTCTCGCCTCAGAAAAGCTACCCAACTTGACCCCCCTGCCTGGTGGGTCGAAGCTAACATTACTTCAAGCGTCAACCTCCGTATGCGCTTCCCAAGCTTTGTTAAGATCTCGTAAAAGCCCATACAGCATCCACTTCTGCTTTTGCCTCTTCGTTTTCTGTCGCTCCGCAGGGTCCCGTGGGTTTGTATTATTGGCAAGCTAATTGGGGGCCAGGCGGACACTGAAATCAGGGTTACTTCTAGGGAATGTGGCTGAAAAAGAGTACATTTTACATCATTATGGTGTACTTGAGTTGTGGGTATGCTAATGCTAACTGGATCAAGCGGGGTAATAACATTTTGGCATAATAACAACTACTGTGTTGTTCATTTCTTTAATATAGCATAACCAAAATGGAATCGACATCCTTTATATTATCCCGAGATTGACCAAAGTTGACGATATATTTCTAGAAGGAGCTAGTTTAGGCCGGAAAGGCCATTATCATCATGCCAATTGATTTCTTCAACTTCTCCAGCAAGATCCGGATTAAGGTCTATAAAGAACTCTTGGTAGTTCCAGAAATCGTCACAATTGAATTGAATCTGGATTCCCCAAGCAGGCCCTATATGGTTCGGGGTTCATTATATTTATACCCAGAAGTTCTTCTTGCAAATAAAATGGCACATCATGAAGCCGGCCCTTTACTTTACTCTGGAAATTACTTTCAGTTCGGCATAGATATGCCAGTATATGAAATAGGGTACGACACCGAATATAAGATTTTCACTTCATTTCTCAATTACATCGGGCTTCAAAACACAGGCTTTCTCAGCTACCTCTACATCGCATTTCCAGCCTACAACAACCACCGTCCCGGAGGCATTGCACTAGAAGACAATAGTATGTCTACCCTGAACCTCATCCGAGATATATGTACGGATATTGCTATGCTTAAGATGGTGTTACAGTCTGATACTACTGCTGAAGCGCTAGCTGTTGTGCACACCCAGCTCAATTCTATGCCATTGCTAAAAGATATTAAAGTCGTCGTAGACGATGGACTACTTTGTGAGGATCTGATCGAGAAGATGCGCAATTGGGGTTGGACAGTCAAGGTCGTTGAACTAAAGGAGGCATCGGACCGCTTCGGATCTAATAGCTGGGGTTATAATGACGATGACTATGGAGATGAGTATGGTGACGACGACAACATATAGTTTGGAGGATTTCCCCAAAGGAGACTTGCTCTATTTACATTTGGTGACTCTGATAGCGACTGAATATATGTTGCATTAAAACATACATCACGTTTATGCGCCCCTCTCAACTTAGAGACATCCAGCCATAACATATGTCTGGTCGACAGTGTCTGAATTATCTGCTTCGTAAGAGAATTGAACGGAGGAATTAAAGCGCCAGTTTTGCCAAAGCGCTGAAGCGGCAGAGTAATACTGCACTATAATACCGAGCCTACTCTGGCTTGTCAGGGAGACATCTGACTCAAAGACGCCGGAGGTCTTCATGCTTATCGCAGGCACAAATGGATAACGAGGATCAAATAAGCGCTTGTTTTTCTATCTAAAGAAGCGACGAAGATCGGTCTCTTATACTTGTGTTCTGCCGATCTTCTAGGCACCAGGTTGTTGTGTAGTGTTCATTCTAACCGTGAAAGTTATTCACCATGGTCGTGGTCCTTGCCCTTGACATCCACCAACGAAAGCGACGTTAGCTGAGCAACAGAATATCCGGTGTCTCCAATTCACCATGGCTTGTAATTAAATACCAGACCAATATCAAGCCTTTCCGCTACAGGCTGAAGATGTCGACTTACATGCTGCCGCAGTTGCTTTGGTCTTGTCAGTATAGGAAGGAACGCAAAGGTTGAAGTAGAAAGAAGAAGGAGCTTGCCTTCAAGGTGAACGGCGACCCGCTTATGGGGGCTCTGTTGTCATCCTCGGGGGATGATCCCTCCTCATGTTGAAATGCCACTTCGATAGAATTATCTTCGTCTTCGTCTTCCACGTCAAGAGTGAATTTAATTTTTTTCATGAAAAGGATATCATCGCAAGAACCCGGACCTTTGAAACACTCCTTCCGTCGTTCTTTTTCACCTCGTACGCCGCGTATGAGACGAAACGGTGTGTCGTTAGGCGCGTCTGCATTTTTCAATAGGCGTTGAAGGAATTCTTCGAGAGGCTTGGAACTTGAGTCGAAACAAGATGTGTGTAGGCCGGGTTTAATCTGATCATCTCCCTGTAGGGTCATCATCCGGTAATTTCTCTTCCATTTTAGAAATCGAGCCGACTAAGCTGCTTCCTATTTCCGGCGACTGGGAATCAGTACCGTGGGCATGGAAGCTGGGGAAGGCCAAGGGCCAAAGTTTTCTAGTATTCGGACCCAATACCAAAAATCCAAAAGAAGGGTGCGCAGGCTAGGAAAAATGGTATTAGGTGCCAATACCAGTGGTAATTTATACAGTAAGCTAGCACTAACAAATTGCAGTTGACTCCTTCTCTCGATGTGTCTTGTCTACAATTAAGCACTCTCTAACCTATCCAAAATATTCTTTTTAAACCACTCCCAATACACCGTCTCCGTCCAGTGCCGCAAATATTCTACAACAGTCGCAATTGCGTAGATTCCTACTATAGAGCTCGTTCTTCCAAATATAAACTGGCGCCAAAGAACCTATCCTGTGTTAGCATCCATAAAGCATTAAAGAATGAAATTACTGACGGTTTTACTGCCTTCTCGCGTCGTCGCCGCAAAATTCCATTAATGGCCATGGATAATGATGGCTGGTAATAACCCCAGTTCTGCGAGCGAGGTTTCTACATATTCCTCGCCGCCAACTCTCGTCAGTAAGCTTTCGAGGTAGTTCCACTATGCAGCTTGCCATATACCAATCTGCAGTGCAGCGTTGTCCTCATCATCTCCTATTCGCTTGGTCTCGATGCTGGCGGATATTAGTCGAGCTGCAAGGCCGAGGTAGGAGGTATGGTTCATGCACTGCATTGGGAGAATGCAGCTCAGGTCATTGGCTTGGGTGCCGTAATCTTTTTCTTTGTTGGAATCCATACCGGGGTTAACATAGATACAGAAGTCGACAAGTTTGGATCCTGTCATAGTAGGCAGATATTCCTTGATGATAGAGGCAGAGTAACTAGCAAGGATCAGCATATATAGTAGTAGAGTCAAGGGCCGAGCATAACCAATTAGGTGCGTACATACCTTAACGAGAAGTTGACTAGATACGGGCAGTCATCAGCCCGAAAGATCTTTTCCAGCAGGTTCTGATAGACCTCAAAGTTCCATGCTATTTCAGAATGGCGTAGGTCGCGGCACTCTCTTGTGCAATTAAGAATCTCCTCTGCATCTTTCAATAACATCCTACTGCCACAATTATTAGGCTCTGCTAAGAATGCAACGTCCTCGCGAAACCCATATTGTGATATATTGTCACCAAGTACGCAACGCATACTTGAATGAAGAATGCTCCAGCAAGTTGACCATCCATCAACCTTGGCAAGCATTGCCTTGAGCAAAGGGGGTTGTTGATTGTTGCCGATATTAAGGTTCCAAGTAACAAGTCTGTCATTTTCTAGAGACAACCCGTATAGTCTCCTGCTGGGAGATGAGGACGCCGACACCGAGACACGACTTGGGGACGCTTTCTTACACAACCTTGCCAATCGTGAACCCGTTTCAACACCAGACTCTGATACTCATGGTATGTGACTGCCATCCTCCTGGTCTGAACCATTGTCATGCGGATTCCGAGTACGTTTTGGAGCCGACAGTCGAAGCCGTGGGTCACTAGCATCCGTGACGGGTCCGACCTTGGGCCGTTTTGGTGGTCCAGTGTTGTCCATCTGAGAGACGCGAAAAAGTTGAGTCTCGTCTTTCGAGGGAGGTGATGGGAGTCTTCGTTTTCGATCTTGTTTGATGGCGTGCATCAACAAGGGCTCCGATAATGGCTCAGATCCCAGTTCGCCGTCGTTGCAGATTCCGTTCAGCCAGGCCAAAATCGATGTAAAATGCGACATTCTCTTGGAGGAGAAGATAAGAAGCCGGAAGCAACGACATGGGCGAACGTGCACCCGTATCTCAGGTCTCCCTTTGGTGTTTTCGACAAATCTGATTGCCCAGTCACAATAAGCGTCGCGTCGCTTTGTGATGTCAACCGGACAACAGTGGGGCAGCAGCGAATCCTATAATTGGTTCAAGTCACGGGCTGAGTCAGCAGATCAGTTATCGCCATCCTAGCCAATCAAAAGCTGCGATAAGCCAGTCCCACTAATTTCTGCTTTGAGCAGACGCAGGGCAATGAATGAAATTATTACGCCCAGGAGGACTAACCTCATAGGGCCAGGTGCGTTAGGTTGTGTACATAGGACATGCGAATCCGGCTCCCACCAGGTTTGAGTCCGCGGGGACTTAGTGGAATTCACGCTGGCAGTCGACGGGGACATTTTCATCAAAATTCAAACACACCGATGCATACAGCAATACCTAGATGAAAAGATAGAAAAGAGCGTATTTAATTGATTTATTCCAAGAAGACTATTTTTTCCTTACTCTTGACCAAGAAACTCCCAATAGAAGGCATGCATCCCGTTATCAAGACGAAAGCATGTCTGAGCTCAGAAATGCACGATGGAAGTGCGCCGCATTTCCACTTCTGCACCAATCACAGCCCTTAGATCTCTACCCCTCATTTCGTTTCCAGAAATGCGGCGCCCTTCCGTGCATTACTGAGTACTCGCGATATGGCAGCACTTGAGAAATGACTCAAAGTGCCGAGTGTAATGACAGGGATCAGTCGGCCTAATATTGCGATCATCTTACTCAGTAAGGAACACCTCCACCTTCCAATTCGGGGTTGGCGCACTTCGATAAGCCTTCTCCCGTCCATCTCCTCCTTGCTTCTTCATGTCTATTCCAACCTCACGGGTGACAATGGCTTCAAACAAGGGCCTTTCATTGTTCTTTCTGAACCATAACTCCACTGGAAGTCCACCGGACGAGGGGCAGCTGAATGCTGCGGCACGAGCTCATGCATCGCGTCAGGCTCGTCTGAAGTACATGTCAGCGCGGCCAAGGAACCTCAAGTTCATATCTTACACTCCGGAGACAATGCGTCATGGCACTGACTCTGGTCCCTTCACCAAGCCTGACGATACCCACATCGAAGAGCGCCAAGTACCAGCCATTGCTGACACAGATCGTGGGGGTACTGACCCTGCGATGAGTCGACACATGTCGTCCTGTCCACTCAGGCCTGCAGGTTGGGACCCATTCGACTCTTTCGCTATGTCAGGGATGGGACGAGACGAGCATCTGATGCTCTACTACGGTGAGCCATGTCTCGTTCATAGCCATCTGTCTGTCATTCATACATTGAAACCAGCCACCCTAACGAGACCCTTCTAGCGTTCACCAACACTTGGCCGCAATTTGGAGAATTTGAGAGTGGAAGGCGTAAATTCGCACAATCATGGTTATGGCGTACTCTGGAGTCCCCTGCGGCATTTTATGCCGGATTAATGGGGTCTTCTACACATTACACGATTTCTTGCCCTACGGCGAGCATACAAAATCGCATCCTTGTAATGGGACTGAAGTGGAAGATCCAGGCTATTAGAGCTGTTCGATCTCTCATCGAGCAGCATCAATCCGGTTCTCCTCGCGGATTCTCGAACAGCGATCTTCTTGCCATCTTTGTCCTTGCTATCCATGGGAGCATGGATCTCTCAGACCAACCGGAGCCGCACCCATTGTCGCCCTTGGCTACATACCGCCACATGCATGTCTACGGCCGGATGAAACCTGGCAAGGAGCATATGAACGCCATTTATTATATCGTCGAGCAGAAAGGTGGAATATCGAATATTGATCAGCACGCCTTTGGCTTCGTTTTGCCTATGTAAGTCCATTAAACCCTACCGTACATCGGACATCCCATCTCGGTGGAATGCTGCCTGCTGACGTCCATTTTGTCAGCCTTGATTTGCTTTACAATGCCCGGCTAGATACTCCACCTAGGTACCCATGTTCGCGCCAGCTGAAGCCAATGGTTCAAGAAGGTCTATGGACGCCGGATTTAGAAGCTCATCAAAAGCTCAAGACCTCAGGCGAGTGCTTCCGGCCAAGCCCTGATGCGTCATTGCCCACGGCTCCCTATCTAGAGCCTAAGATGGTCAAACTTCTCGAAGTCATGGCAGAAACGACTGTCGCCCTTGATCATTATTGTTGCGGCGGACCTGAAGCACCGGATTCCCTTGATGTGTTGGCAAATAACTGCGATTGGGCATCACATGCCATTCTATCTCTGCCTCCATATATCCCGTTGGCTATGTCCCGAAGCGACCTGGACCAGCAGCCAAATATCGATACCACTACTATCCTTCATGAGATATGCCGACTCTGCACCCTTCTCTACCACGATATGGTCCTTCTTCCGAGTCCCCCACATACAGGAATCAAGTTACGCCACTCGACCAGAGTTTTATGCTTGATAGAGGTCATACAGCGAAAAGACCCTATAGAAGACCCCTGTGCCTTCGATTTTCTAACTTGGGCCATGGTTATAGGCGGAATCGCCGCAAGGTTTACAAAGCTTCAAGTCTCATATAGCAAACTCATTGAAAAGGTTGCACGAGACACGGCATGGGAAGTGATTCATCCGCGATTGAAGAGATATATATGGTTTAACCCTGTATGCGATGAGCCAGCTTCGATTATTTGGTTCCAAGCGCAACAAGAGAGCCTTTCAGAATAAATTTTCTTCTTGAGCGTTGGAGGATGCGTACCTAGCTTTAACGTTGCCTTGTTACCGCCCTATTATTAGACGACTCATTTCACGATTAGTACTTCAGTTCTTCCTATTGTTTGTAAGTTCAGTTCAAGCCCAACTATCCCTCGTAAGCGAGAAGACCATTAGGCTTTGCTAGGAATTTTATGTGCCCAAATCCTAGCTCAGAGGAGTCAAACGACCCGGATTCTCTGTCAGTAGGGAATACTTAGCGTTGCGTTACCAAGTACAGAGCTCCCAATACTATGAATATCTAGGAACTTATGGCATCTTAGATCCACAAGACAACCCCGGTGCCTTATTAGCTACGCTCCACTATGCTTACCTCTCTATAATAATAGGGCTCGTTACTATAGCTCTCAACGGATTCTTAGGGAAGTAGCCCTAAGACATCTTAGTTAAGTAAAGGCAATTGCTAGACGGGCATAATGTTTTGCTAGACGGGCATAATGTTTTGCTAGACGGGCATAATGTTTTGCTAGACGGGCATAATGTTTTGCTAGACGGGCATAATGTTTTGCTAGACGGGCATAATGTTTTGCTAGACGGGCATAATGTTTTGCTAGACGGGCATAATCTTACACGGGCATGACCTTTTTTCCCCCTCTTATTGGCTCAAAAATTTCTTGCTCTATATATACATACAACTAAAGACAGTAAAGCCAATCCAACTAACAGTAGTTATACCCGTACTAAATCCATAGATAAAACAACAAACACCATTTCTTCATCTAATATCTAATGAAATATATTTCCTATTTCTTCCTCACCTACTTAATAAAATAAGCTTATTCTTTATATATTTCTATTTAATATTAATACTATCAGGTTGTCTTAGAACTGTATAGTAGTAGTACTATTAGATTATATTAACCTAAAACAACCTAATAGTACTATTACTATATTATAATTATGTGTAATTAAGTATAATAGTAAAATACTTCCAATACCTATTAAGTTGCTAAGGCAAGAAACTTAACAGCTAAATATCTAGCCCGAATAGTAAATACTATATACCTACTATTAAACTCTCCTAGAGGAACTCCCTAAATCCCCCTTTTAATTGCAGTAGTAACTAGCTATTAAAACCACTTTAAACTTATAGTAAGGAAATTAACTAATAATTATAAAAGTCCCTCTACTACTTCCTAATAGGCCTAATTAACTATATACTAGTTATGGAATTTCCCCGTTTCCTATATCTTATAGAAAAACATTATTTAGTTAATATAGTATAGTAGATACAGCAAATCAGCCAGCTATTAAGCCTAATAGTATTATTAATTAGTAAGGTATATCTTTATCCCTATCTTATAATTAGCTATAAATATAATATATAGAAAATATAGGTATATAAACCTTCTATAGATATATAGTTATAAAGACTCGAATAATTAAAAGGTATCTTAAAAAGTAAGTTTTATAGTAAGGTAACTATAAGATAGCAATATAATTAATACTAGCCTAGAAGTTATATATAGTAAGGTTAGTAACTATTTAATTCTTTATTAAACTTTAATATTTATAAATAGTAATAGTAAATATTATAATTAGGGGAAATTATATATAAATATAAATTTTATTACTAACTAGAAAATTATATATAACTAGAAGAATAAATATAATTTTCCTACTCTTATTAATTATTAGATATAGCAGTTTATTATAGCTATTAAAATCCACTATAATAATAGCTAGATAATCTTTTTAAGGTTCTATATTTATATTCTAAGTAATATTATATATAGTACCCTAAATACTATTAACTAAATTAGCTAGCTATTATAAATTAATTATAAGTATTATTTTAATACTTTTAATAATAGAAAATCTATTAAATAAATTACTAGTATTATTACTTAGTACCTACTCTATATTATTACTCTAATTTTTTACCTCTATTTATATTATTAGGATATTAAGTATATTATATACTTATAATTATATTTATT